TCCCCAAAGACAGCTAAGATCATCCTAAAAGCTAGAAGAGCCAACGGAAAACAAATTCATCAATTTGCTTTCTGGCAAATTTGTGAATGGCCATACTTACCACAGCAGCCATTCTGTAAGAGCCCCACACACTCTCAGAATTCCAAATGTGCCCATCAGCTCCAAAGAGGCTGGCAATCCTTATCCTAACTTTTCCAGCAATGCATTTCAGCTACATCCACTACTTTTATATTTATAGATATTTAAATTGACTGAGAAGTATTTCTTGCAGAGAACATTCAGTTCCTGAAATTATTTATAAGATACTGATATTTACCAGCTACAAGTAACTTGCTTACAGTAAATTAAATTCTCTCAAATTGTTGCACCACTTTTAGAGGAATAAAAATATACACTTTCTATTTAGTTATAGCTAACTTAAATTTGATATATAGTACAATGTACTCTGTCAGATAACTACGATTTGTTTTTGACAAGGAAGAGCTCTTGAGAGATTCTGCCAAAGGAAGCAATATTTTGAAAATTACTTGTACTAATCTTGGCCAGGATAATGCCTTCAGTATGTAAAGAGAACATGTCTACAATCCAGATAAACTGAGGATAGGGAAGGGAGGGAAGCAGAAAGATTAGTATGAGTGGACTTCTGGTCTTGCGCCGTAGTGCCTGGTCGCGGGATTGAGGACTTCCGCACCTTGCGGCTAGTTTTGCCCTGCCAGGGGACCCTAAATGGGTCTAAGTCACACCAGAGAGGCAGTGAAGAAAGAAGAGTGACCCGACGACTCTGGAATGATGGCGGTTGTTTGGTTTGGTTTGGGGAAAGCCTTCTAACCCGACAGGAGAAAGGCTGGCCACACCTCACTGATCAGCCCAAGCTACTTGCAGCCGAAGTCCAAAGGCACTAACCAACACAACAGTGAACAGCGTGCTTGAAACTACGTGAGGAATTTGATCTTCTCTCTCCTATTTTATACTTAATTTTCTGGAAAAGATCCCCAAGAAGCAAAAAGCCTCCCAAAGTGAGAAGGGGGGGGGGATTTTCTCACCCTTCTATAGACGGAAGCGGCAAATTAAACTCTTATGGGGAATAAACATTACCAGGTTGGATAAATCTGAAAGCTAAGAAAATTGTTAAAACTCTATACCTGAAAAAGCATTGATGAAGATGCCTAGAAACAGCAAAAAACAGCTGGGAACAAAGCATTATCTACTACTGAATGAAACTACATAGGTTTAGAAACTGCTGATCTTCTGGGATTATAAACACACTGAATTGCATTCTTAAATCTTAACCTAAGAACTGTTTGCAAAGAAAGAAAAATTTTGGCCTTTGGCTAATCTTCTAAAGGAGAAATTACTGGAAAACTTTTAGATGGTCAAATACTTTGAACTGAATCCTGACTGGCTGATAATTATAGGACCCCTGAAAAGAAAATTGCCACAAAATATTGTTTTCAGTGGTGCCTTGACAATTGGAAATGTACTGGATTATAAAACCATTATATAAAAACAAGAACTACATAAGATTTGGCTGTTTGGATTTTAAGATGGACTGGTTTGATAAAACTAATTAAAAAGATTATGACACCAATGGAAAACTACTTAGAGGGGAGAGATAAAATGGATATTATATACCTATCTGAAAGTAATATAAAACTATACCTAGCACCTCTTCCTGAACAACCCAGTTTGGAGCTTCAAAGATTTGCAGAACAATGATTCAAGGCAATACAAATGCATTCCAGGAGAAAATATACACAATGCTGCGACAGATTCAAATGATAATTGTTTCAAATCATGAGATTAGAAATCAGTTTGACAATATAAACGAACATATCTCTAACTTAAACCTAGAAACTAAATGATACTCAAAAAATGACAACAAAGAATGAACAAACAAATCAGACAACAGAATATAAATTAAATGAAAGTGACTTAAATAGAAAAGCTACAAATGAAGAAAACTACAATTTAATACAAACCAAAAAAAATCTGCAAAACCCTATTACAATAAAGAAGACAAAAAAAGATGCCTTATCATCCAGGATTTCAGAACAAATTTGAGGATAAAAAAGAAGAACAAATAAAATGAATTAAAGGACTGCCAGAAGAATCATCAAAACGTGGGAAACAAAAACCTGATACCTTACTTGCTTTGTCTTTTTTGGATATAAAGAGGCCCTAGATTAGATGGTGTATTATAGGGTTAAATATTGTTGGAATATAGCCAAAAGAATAATAAAGTTTGTAAAGGGGCCCTATAGTAAGAGGAATAAGATATATAAGTAGTATAATACTTTTAGAATATATGAAATGTTAAAACATTGAGAGGGTCTATTTAAATGAAAAGTTTGGATATTTAAAGGTAATGAATTTTGAGAAAATTATGACTGATAAGAGTGGCTTGAATACTGAGGGGAAACTAAGCTTCAATAAGAATCTTGAAAATAGGACATATAATGATTTAATAAGATGACTTTTATAAATACAATGGAAATAAGCTGATTAAAACATGTTATATGTTGATGTTATTATGTACATAAATACAAAAAAATGTTTATATTCAACTTGGTTTGTACTGAAAATATTAAGAATTGTATTTGTTTAATGTAGACAAAAGGAGAATATTACAGGAAGAAGAGAGGATCAAGAAGAGAGGATCAAGAGGGAAGTGTGTAGTGGGGTGCCCCAGGGCTCTGTTCTGGGCCCAGTACTCTTCAACATCTTCATCAACGATTTGGATGAAGGGATAGATGGGGAACTCATCAAATTTGCAGATGACACCAAGCTGGCAGGAATAGCCAACACTCTAGAAGACAGGCTTCAGGTACAGAAGGATCTGGACAGACTTGAACACTGGGCACTAACTAACAAAATGAAATTCAATGGTGAAAAAAGCAAGGTTCTACATGTAGGCAAGAAAAACCAAATGCACAAGTACAGCATAGGTGGCACCATGCTCAATAGTAGTAACTGTGAGAGGGACCTCGGAGTCCTAGTATACAATCACTTAAATATGAGCCAGCAGTGTGCTGCAGCTGCCAAAAAGGCCAACACAGTGCTAGGCTGCATTAACAGAGGGATAGAATCAAGATCACGTGAAGTATTAATACCACTCTTCAATTCCTTGGTAAGGCCACACTTGGAATACTGCATCCAGTTTTGGTCACCACGATGTAAAAAAGATGTTGAGACTCTAGAAAGAGTACAGAGAAGAGCAACAAAGATGATTAGGGGACTGGAGGCTAAAACATATAAGGAACGGTTGCGAGAATTGGGTATGTCTAGTTTAACGAAGAGAAGGACAAGGGGGGACATGATAGCAGTATTCCAATATCTCAGGGCTGCCATAAAGAAGAGGGAATCAAGCTATTTTCCAAAGCACCTGAAGGCAGAACAAGAAGCAACGGGTGGAAACTAATCAAGGAGAGAAGCAACCTAGAACTAAGGAGAAACTTCCTGACAGTGAGAACAATTAATCAGTGGAACAGCTTGCCTCCAGAAGCAGTAAATGCTCCAACACTGGAAGTTTTTAAGAATAGACTGGACAGCCATTTGTCCGAAATGGTGTAGGGTTTCCTGCCCGAGCAGGGGGTTGGACTAGATGACCTCCAAGGTCCCTTCCAACTTTACTATTATTATTATTATTATTATAAATATATTACCAACATATTAATTGTAGAAATTAATTATCATTGTTTTAAATATATGAACCCAGACAACACACTGTTCATGAAGCACTAAAGATTGCTATTGTAAAAAATTAATAAAATATATTAAAAAAAAGATTAGTATGAGTGGAAATATTTTACTCTTCCCTAACCACGTTTTCTGTCTTCCAAGATTTATATCAAATGTAATAAGAAATATAAAAAGAATGAAAGTCAAATAGGAAGTTTTAAAACAAAACTGAAAAACAAGATGTCTTTATAAATCTGTATTATACTAATTGGGCCTGCATGACATTGTGCTATAAAGAGAGCAAAAATCAATTCAGAATGGCTCTATTCTTGTCAATCAACTGTTCCCTATGGCACATAACTGTACGTAACTACAGAAATAATTCCCATCCTACTGCTGACACATAGTAATTCATCAAAGCACTACTATCCCAGCTCAAGTGAAGTATTATGCTCTCATAACTATATGCACCCTTTGCAATATAGCCAATTAGAATCAGTGAGATCATATGATGAAGCCAGCCCAGTATTTCAATGTCATAAAGGTCTTTAGAACACCATGAATCAAGAGCAAATGTGATGATGGCAGGTACAAACAACAGAAGGAGGGAAAATGAGTTAATTTGCTTATCTGTAAGTTAATTAATGATTTTGATATCTAAGAATGGCTATAATTTTGGAAATAATTTATGAAAATGTTTAATGTTTACTCCAGTAGAAGTGGAATTTAATGAAATAAAATCAATAATAGTAGGATGATAAAATTAATTTTAAAATATCTTATGGATAAGTTATCATTCTTTTCTTATGAAAACTGATATGTTTTGGGGGATTGGAATAGATGACACCCTCCCCCAATCTGGATGAAAGAGTGACTGACTCTCCAAAACAAGAGATTTTAGATTATAGAGCCATGAACTAAGATTTGGATGGTACATCTATTTATTGTATCACAAGGTTAAATTAAATGTTGATTTGAAAATTCACTTTGTTAGATGCACTAGTCTAAGGGTTCTCTATGAAGTATTTCTTTGGGTTTCACCTCAGGAAGTCTTTTTAAGAAAAAAAAATGATGGCGAGGCCAGACTGGTAGACTTATGGTCAAATAATAAACTTTATTACAATACACTGTGTTGGAACTAACAAGACAAAAGATCTGCCCTCTCTCATGCAGACACTTTCATCAAGACACAGAGTTCTTCCAATAGTGTGTTAATGTTCTTTTGAGACAGGCATTATGTTGTTTATTCAAACAGAGTCAACAGTAAGCTGCTTCAAAACATACTATCTAGTATGGGGGTGACCTCTAGCTGGATCACTTACCTATTCCGTGCAGGAGACTTCCCTGTTTCCTCCTGAACTGATCCAAGACGTGTTGATAAGGTAGAGGATGAAGAATCTGGATGAATCAAGCTGCAATTCAAGGATATTACATTTAAGCAGCAGTTAGCACTGCATCAGAGAAGCTATTAAGACCCCTGGCACAGGCTGAAGCAGCAAGTTGCTTTGTTCCCTCCCCAAAAACGGAGGGAGGGGTATTGCTGTTGCTTTACCCCAAGCCAAATCCCAAAATGATCATGAATTCAAAGTATTGGGAAGTTCTCTCTTTGCAACATAGACTCTTATACATAAATACGTTATTCCAGATTCTCAAGATTATTAAAATGGAATGATCGGAGACACCTTAAAAAAAAAAATTCTGTAACTATTTCCAATCTTGAGTCTCCAAAGAACCATTCAGATTGCATACATGTAGTCCTTGACTTACAACTATAATTGAGCCCGCAATTTCAGTCATAAATCATGATGGTCGTTAAGCGAGTCATTACATGATCATGCCAGATTTTATTACCTTTTTTGCAGCAGTCATTAAGCAACTGCCACGGTCATTAAGCAAACCCATTGATTGCTATGGGGTATTTTTTTAAACACTGGTTTCTGGCAAAAACATAAATCATGGTCATGTGACTGCAGACGCTACAAATGGCCATAAATGTGATGTGACTGGGGGTCGGACCAGCATCAGAACTTCAATTCCAGTTCATAAGTAGTTTTTTGGGGGTAGGTCATAAAGCATAAGTCAAGGATTATCTGTATTTCAAAATTCATGGATGTGACACTTTACAGCTATTAATATCATTTATTTGAAAAATTTGTTTGGAGGGCAGTTATTTTTTGGTTCTTTTGGAAAAGGAGGTAAGGCACCTCTCTATTTAAAATCTTTTCACAAGAAACAGTTACTTAACTGAGCAACAGTGATGCTGCAAGGCAAAGAAGTCTCTACAGGTAGTCCTCACTTAATAACCCTAATTGCTTCTGGCAATTCTGACACTAAATAATGCAATCGTTAAATGAAATGTCACATGACTGTGTGGCAATCCCACTTGCTGCTGTTGAGAGAAACCCATGTGGTCTTTAGGCGAGGACTCACACAAATTCAAGCCATTCTTAGAAAGAAGGCAGGGGACTGCCTCCATTTCAGGAGCAGAGCCGGAACCTTGTTTCCCACCAGCCTTCTTTCACAAAAGGACCCAGCAGGTACACAAAAGAAAGCCAGCATGAAAGAAAGACCCGGCTGTGCTGGCACAAAAGGCAGCCCCGGCTGGTGCACAAAAGGCCAGCATGAAATAATGTGGCGCAAAATAATGCACTGGCTAATAATGGTGCACTGTGGCACAGCAAACATATACCTATCTCTGTTCCCTATGCCTGTCCACAGCACCCATCTCTAGCTCTCACCCACCAGCCCATAGCACCTCCCCTACATGTGACCAGAATGGTAAGTCTAACAGAAGGGAGGCAGGGTCGGCTGGGGGGAGCAGTGACGGGATGGTGCGGTTGTAAATTGGGCAGGCCCAAATTTTGTTCACATGACCAAAAGTGGGCACTGCAACAGCCGTATTTCATGGACAATTTTTTCAGTGCCATCATAACTTTGAACAGAGAGATGCTGAGTGAGGACTACCCGTATATACTCAGAGACATCTTCCAATTTTCAATGCAACATGATAAATATGCTGACAGAAAATGTAGTTTTATGTTTTTGAAAAAACTAATTTTCAATTTATAAGTTCCAAGGAATGAAAGTAATAGAACTAAAGTCTCAGGCTACAAGATGGGGCTCTGCTACAGTATTTTCTCGATGAGAAACGTCAACACTGGATCACAGTAACTGAAATATGACCAATTTTCAATATGACAATATAGGAATTGCATCTATTGGCAGAGGCCATAGTGTCCTGAAACAATGTTCAACTGTGCAGCTAAAGAATGCCAAAGTAATAACTAAAGTTGTCTGAACAATGCTTTCTAATCGGGTGTTACAAAATTAGTCTAAGACTGAAGAAAGAATAGATTTTCTAAGCACTTAAATATAAAGACATTGATACCTTTGCCAGGCAAGATCTTCTTCCAGGAAAATATTACGACTAGCTTTTCTGCTACCTACAGGAGTACGGGGTTCCCCAGGATCCAATACTGACAAACAGCTTGATGAATCAGATAAAGAGTTCAAGTCTTCCCCAATGGTGTTACCATCTGTGGAGTGTGCATAGCTTAAGGCTATTTTGCGACAATAAGTGCAAGCTCTCAGATCACCTATGAGAAATAGAAGAGACTGCTTTATAATTTGAAGATATTATTCTAAAAATTGTGGCATGAAAAAGAGATAGTTTCAAAGGTAGGAAAATTGTTTTATCATGCCTTGTATCAAGAACCTAAAGAAAACTTAAAGATCAAGACCACTACACAGAATGTGAGCTAGATTTTGAACAGAAACATATACTGCATGCACCAAGGCTTGCAACATATACAACAACTGAAGACATTCCAGCAAAACATGTTTCATAGCAAAATGCAACCTCAAGCCCACCCACACGCCATGCTAATTTTTAACTGAAGTGTTGCAACCAGAATGCTGGCTTCATCACATGGAACTTAGGTTGGCCTGGCTTTTCCATTCTTGCCATCCATTCTTCAACCTGGTAAAATTACTTGGAGGAACAGCTGCAGGTCTAGAAACAAGATGGATGACTATCCTAACAATTTCTGGGAAGGGCAAGGCATTATATGGTTGCATATCCATGGGTTTACCACAAAAGTCTTCCTAGTATTCAGCGGATGATAGTATGGATATTACTGCTCATGAATTCTTACTGGCTGTTTCACCCACTATGTTTTGGGTCAATATGAAATTCATCCTCACCCACCAATTCCAGCAGAAGGATAAATTTCTACATCTTCTCAAAAGCTAGATGTATGATTGCACTTTGTCTTACCTGTGTAACCCATAAATTTTCCAGGGATTTCCTGGTTACAGCATCGGCTACAGAAAATTTGCCCACATAACCGACAGTGATGTCTGCGTCTAAAAGTAGTGAATTTTTCACTACAGTCATAACACTCTTTACACTGGCTATCTGGCATCCAGTATTGTTTGAGGTCACTGTCCTATGGAAGAAATTTGCTGTTTAGTCAAGGAAACAGTTTCACAAATGTTCTATGTCTGAATGTAAGTCATATTATGAGATGTCACAAGTCCAAAATTAGATTATAATATTAATTTGCAGACTGAATAGAGTTGAGGTATGAAACTCAAGTTAGATTCAGAACATAGTTATATGCAAGGGTGTTTATAATGTGCCAAAAAGCTCCAATCTTCACAGTTGCTATAAAACAGATAATGGAGAATTAATACATTTGCACTACTCTCATCTTTTAAAAAGTTATGTCCTGCTTAGTTTATCCAAGCCAAAGGATTTCACTTATGTAATGCTCTGAATTTAATTGTTAAGCAATAGGATTTGATTTAGTAAAAGGTTGCTAGAAGAAAGAAAATTTTTCAACTCACAAATGTGAAGGAACCCAGATATATCATACTGGAAAGGTATGAAAACTGATTTGCTATTATTGTCAAAATTAGTAGACAGCCCTTGCCCTCATTGCTTGAAAATATATTTAGTGGTAGCAACGTTCTATAAGTCTCTATACAAATTCTAAGAACTTGTTCTAAGATTTTATAAAAACAAACAAACACAGAACTGATTTCAGGATTACTCAAAACTATAAAAGCAGGCATAAAGCGATACCTGGCTTTTTCCTTCCATGATTTCTTTGAGGCGTTTTAAAACTGTACTGAGGCTTCTAAGTTGAACAGCTGTCCTAGGATCATGACCACTAAGAGGAGGATCTTTTCTTCGATTGTCTGAAAGCAAAAGACAATAGTTGCCATATGAGATTTCCATGAACAATTAGTGGAAATCCCTTTAGAATACAAAAATGTTATACAGAAATTTTAACTTCAGTTCTCTCTTTTTCAAACTGAGATCAATGCAGTGGTAATGTCCTAAATTTAAGTATCTCTCCTATAATACAGAGTACCTTATCCAAAGCCACGTTTTGTGAAAAAATAGCCATTTTCAATTGTAGCCAATTTTCAAATAGCCAATTCATTTATCTTTAAATAAACAGAAAGCATTTATCAATTCAAAGAAAGTTATATGTTATAAAATGGTAATGTCAACTCTTAAAAATGAGCATGGCTGCAGCCATTTTTCCTACTCATTTTTGGTTGACACACAGAACGGAGGGAAGGGGTTGCCAGGTGCTTCGCTAGTCTAAAAATTTTTTTTATCCCATGGGAATCAAGGTCATCGGCTGTGCCCAAGACTGCAGGCTGGGCGTTTCATGAAAAGCCCATCAAGAAGATGTATTGGGGAACGTAGTTGCTTGCATAGCCATAGGGGTGGGATTTCTTAACTTTGTATTGGGGAATTGTTACGTATGTCTTCAAACTTGGTTTCACTTTTGATATGCCAATACTTTGTAACTAATAAACATGTTCTTTGAGGAATTTCCAAACCTCGGAGTTCTGCTTTATTTGTCTCTGTCTGTCGAAACCATGACAGGTAAATTTATTTATTTGAAAGAAACCTGGATTGATTCAACAGACCTCACTTCCCAGAAATGCAATTCAGAAACACAGCATTTAGTTTCAACTATAAATATTTCAGATTTTCAAAAAAATTAAAGTCTTCTTCAAATTGAGTTGACCCAAACTAATTCTATACACATCTCCATTCTCACCGCAACAATACAGATGCAGCCATTTCCTTTTTTGAGGAATTTTTTCTACCTTATCCACAGCCCTGGGCTTTTCTTATTTTAATTAAGAGCTGAAATACCTTGAATAATTACATGTCTATTTGGGTTCTTCCCAAAAATAGCAATAGAAGTCTGAGGAATGAAAGGCAAATCAGAGTACCAATTTCAAACTGAGTTATTAAGCAAAGATATCTGTGCTGTAGACACAGAACTAGTATTAATATCCCAAATATTACAATCTGTATTAATAGGTGTTTAGAAGTTTATGATCCATTGATTATGTGCCATTACAAACATTAAAACCTTACATCCCACTCCTTAGGGCTAAGTCAGCAAAAATCTCTGATTATTGATTGAAAGAGGACGGGAACAATAAATATTGCAGAGAAAAATCAGCAAATATAGCATTTGCTATTAAAATTTTATTATTTTGTTTTGTCTTGAGAGTTAGAATATAGACCCTGAATAGGAAAAGACCTCACCAATTTTAAGCACTTTAAAAAAGAGAAAAAAGACTTGGGTAGATCCAAAGATTTAGAAGTACTTTGGAAATCAAGGCTATAAGTACACAAACCTAAACAGTTTAGCTTAAAAAATCACCTCAAATCTGCACCTTAGCAGCATAGGAATCCACGGAAGCTATTCATCTGTGTCAACTGTTTCAGGGAGAAAATATTAACTTGCTTTAAAGCCAGCTAATTGATTCCCATTTTCTGAAGTCAAACAGTAGCTTTGTATACAGCAATTAATTAGTCTTCCATTAGTCCAATTAATTTCTTGTATTAAACCAACCAGCCAGCCACATATTAACAACAGCAACATCAGCATATTACAGGAAAAAAAATTTTGTGTGTTTTATCAGAGCTCCTGGATACAGACTCCCCAGGCTTTTGCAAGCCTCCTTCTCTTCGTTGCATTTCCTGCTAAGGATTATTTCATATTTTAAAAGAAAAGTGCCTCAAGTTTCTTACCAATTCCATAGTTCTCCATTAGCCAGGCATTTTATTTTGCTCTCTTGTGCAGCAGAACAAACATGGCTCCACTGAATGCCCTGCTTTATATACCAGTTATGTTATGTGGAATCCTGGCAGCAAAAGCAAGAAACAGGCACAATAACAGTTGTTGTATAATGGTCAGACTCCCAACTTTGGAAGAAGAAACAAGGTTCGTCTTTGTAAGCTGTGCCAGAGGGTGTTACTAACAACCATCTCCCAGCTAGAATCTATTTGCCAGCCACCAATTCCTGAGGAAGAGCATGGTGCCACTTCTATGGCTGATAACGGGTGACTTCTTTCAACATTCCTAAATAGCACTGCTACAACTTCCAGTCTGGTGATTTAGACAAACGATTTTATGACTCTTTGTGGTTCCAGGATGGTCGCCGTAGGCCAGAAACTACTGTGCATGCGTTAAAATGGCTGCCGCGCATGCGCAGTAGCTTCCCCTGTTGCCTGTGCCACGTGCGTGTGGAACAAAGGCCCGCGCGTGCGCTGAGCTACCCCGGTAATGGCGGCTCTTTTAAATGCCCCGGAGAGTGCCTGGTGAATTAAAGAACGGCGACTCGCTTCCCCAGCTGTTCCGCACCGCCCGCAAGCGTTCCTGGGCTTCCTTCCGCCCGCACGCGCGTCCCTATCACTCTCTGCTACCCCCGCAGAGCTAACGTTTGTTGCTATTAAGCCCGGCCGATCGGCTTCCTTCTTCTGCCGACGTGGGTAGCAGAGGGAGAGGGATTGGGTCAGGGAGGGATTCTAAGGGGTTTACTCCCTTCCTTAACGAGGGTGATAATCCCCTAATAGTCTAATTCCAATTTCTGTGTTTTAAAGAATTTGGATATTTTAAAATATTCAATCAGATTAAACCTAATTAATTCCAACTAGCTTAATCTAAAAATCCTAGCAACTGGAGAATTAATCCACCAATAGAAAAGAAACTATACCTGCCTAGGAGCCAAAGTTGAAAACGTCTGTCTTCTGGGTGAGATCAGTGAAGACTGGGATCTCGTGGACCAGGACAGGCATGGCAACTTTGGCTGACTGATCTGATTGGGCAGGAATACAGTCTTAACCCACTGAGTGGATTATCCATCTCCAATGCTGGAGAACGGGTGACTTCTTTCAACATTCCTAAATAGCACTGCTACAACTTCCAGTCTGGTGATTTAGACAAACTTCTTCGATTTTTCAGTTTTGAGTTAAATTTACGACAGAACATCAAATCCAGATTTATGTATGAAACAACTACATTGTACCTTGAAGAAGAACTACCTACTCAACAGGTGTTATAACAGATGCTTGTTTTATTATGGATGTCACTTTCCAGGGGTTATTAAAAGATCTAAAGACTAGTTAATGGAAATAATACAAACACTAAATAAATAATTTATACAAATATTGTAATAAGCTAAAACACCACAGAACGCACTGAAGGATTTATATCTAAAAGTTTGGAAAAATATTTTCCTGCAGTTAAATTATATGGTAGACAAACTGGGATATCACTAAAGCAGCCATCTCTAGGTCTTAGGATTGTGCAATGCTTTAGATTCAAATTTTAAAAATGCTTTGGAGCTTGTGTGGGAACATATTTAAAGTTGTTAGCAACTCCATACTGTATGTCTTTTGCCAGGATTGTGCTGTAGTTGTGGAGGGACCCCTGTACAATCCAGAAATCACAACTGCTCTTAGGAGTTCCTGAAAGGAGTTAGGTAAGTCTGCCCATTTGCTGAGATGGTGAAGAAGTATTTTTTAGTGTTTTTTACCCTAATAAAGAAATATCAACTACTGTAATTGCAGCTACTGCTCCCCATACTATCTTTCCTTTTACAGAGTACAATGTTTTATAGGGCTAGTAATCTAGCTAATCCTAACCCTGCAATCACATTGCATGTTCAGATCTCTAATATAGAGGAATCTAGAAGCTAAAAAAAAGAGTGTACATTTGAAGATCACCATGTTGTACACATGCAACCATTCTTCACTATGAACTGATAACTAGGAAACTGTGCCTTTTGCCCAAAATGTAGAGCATAAAGTCCAGACTGAGAGCTTATGAAATCTCTTTTAAATCTGCTAAATCAGGCCCCACATGATAGAGCACGTCCTGTACAGTCCCCTGCACCAAAGTTTTATATTAAAATGGCAGAAATCTCTTGCTAGAAACATTTATCAAATAGCAACAGAAGCATGCACATTAATCAAAAGCTTTCGGAACTGCATTTTATTTATTTAACAAACTTTTATAGCCACCCATAAAGGGAAATCCTGGGAGATCTTAGGTAAATCTGCCCATGTGCTGGAGAAGTGTTTTTTACCCTGATAGGTGAACAAAACCATTTGATAAAAACAAACATAAAAACAATATTGAAGCCCTAGTAAAGCTTGTATCAATCAATCATACTATGCCAGTTCCACCAACATCCTGATCCTAGTGGTTAGGGGAAACCTTTTCTGCTTTCCATAAAGCTAAAAGAGTCAGTACCATCTGTATCTTTTTTTTGGGGGGGGGAGGCTATTCCATAAACAGGTGCCACGACAGAAAAGAAATGATTCTGAGCACCTGCCAAGCAACACCATTTCACTGAGGAGACTTGGAGCATGCCCACCCTGCCAAATTTCCTGGGATGGATAAAGCAAAAATTGTATGATTCTGGATTAGTACAACGTGTGATCTGTACCACTGTAATTTGTAAATACTGTAAAGTGTGCCTTTGCATTATATTTGAATTAAGCCACATATAATGATCCATGTATTCAGCAAATAATAAGCAATGACTTATTACATTGTATGAACTCAGCTTATCCCTGCAGACATCTCTGCACAGGAACTTTGCCAAAGGTAAGTTCGACCACAATATCTTGGATAAAAACTGAGCTTCACAGACCTTGATAAGGTAGCTGAAACAATAAAAACAATGTCACACCCTTCTGTTAGTTGTCCTTGAAGGCCAATACAGCAAAAATCCCTATCCAGAGGGACAATGCACCTGTGACTCTGGACACATAGAAACCATAGAGCATGTGCTCCTCTGGTGCCTGCACTACAGAGATATTCATACTGGAACTTATCTCACCAATACCATCTAAATACCCAGATAATGTTGTACCTCCTTGCTGCTTATAGATACTAATACTAGTACAACATACAATGCTGCCAGGTTTTGCACAGCAGCAATTAAAATCCATCACCTATGTGCCTCAACCCAGTTTTTAATTTGTATCAAAGCACAACAATATGTTGTCCAACTGTATTAGATGAATTCCAATTATAGAGCCCAAAGAATACAAACAATAGTCCTTGGACAATAGTTCAACCAACTATTACCTTGCTTAGTTTGTTCATGCTAATAAGGGGAGATGGCCAACTGCAGAGGTAATTCCTCTGTTAAAGAGGAACTGGAGCTACAATCTTGAAAGAAGAAATAATCTGTTTTCAAGAAAGCAACCCTTTCAGGAGGAGATTCCAGAGTAGTTTCCTTCAAACTGCAGAAAAGTTGGCTAAACTTCATTTTCAAAATATATTTCGTCACAGCTTTAAGGCTTGATTTGGTGTTCTATTTTAGCCATCTTATTGGATGAAAGAGGCAGGAGACATGCATTGCCTTGTTGATATTCTTCAAGTTTTCAAATGAGCTGAAGAGCATTCCAGAAAGTGTTGCTTAAGGATTACTATTCTGCTCCATGTCAAACTTCTTATGGAGAGTCTTATTCCAGTGGTCCCCAACCTTTTGGGCACCAGGGACCAGTTCCATGGAGAAAGGTTTTTCCACAGACTGGAGGGGGCGTGGTTTTGCATGCTGCCTACATCCCGAGGATGGGGCTTCGCTTGTTTGCGCGGCCCAGTTTTCTGGCATGCTGCAGCCTGGTGTCAATGCATAGACCGGGTGTTGGGGACCCCTGTCTTATTCCTCATGCTGTTTAAAATCTATATGAAGTCGTCATGGTATATGAATTGTCATCACCATGCACCAGGGAATACGTGTCTGATTGGAGCAAAAAAGGAGCCCTCTCTAGTGGCTTCCTATTTGCCAGAGGAGGAGGGTGGGAAGCTTCCTATCAATTTTGTTTCTATTGGCAAGGAACGTACATTCTTATTCAGGTGAGACCTTGAAAGCTAAGATGACTTACATTTTCAGATAGGAGAAGCTATGTGCTTTTAAATATGCTTTCAACATTTTTTAAAAAGTTTACTTTTATTCATGTTAATTGCTAATTTTTATTCATTCATTCATTCATTCATTCATTTTTTCTTTCATTCATCCCATTTGGACAACCACCCATGTCAAACCATTCACTGTGGGCAAAAAACAATCATTTGCCTTAAATGAAACTGTGGGATATAATGTAAATTAGTGGTCTCTTATGAAATTGTCCAGTTCCAAGGAATTGTTTGCCTTTTAACATGGAAATTATTTGAAACTCTTTAAATCAATGCTATTTTTCTTCTTAAAGTGCCAATGGTTGTTGTATATTAAGAATCTTTTATTTATAATTTAAACAGTGTCAGAAACCATACACCATGCATACTGAGAAATTAGTCACTTACAATTGCATAATATTTAATTATTAACTATCTTAGATTCCACTGGCAACATTCCCATAAAAATAATTAGAAGTGTGAACTTTTATTTAAAATCAAAATGGTATCCTATATATAAATCACACACATCAGTTAGTTTTATTTACTAACCAACACATATATTTATTCATCCTAAAAATGAATATTCATACAACCAGCCTCTATTACACAGTAAGAAGGGGTAGTCAAGGTCATTGACCTGAACGAGCATGGCACTGTCTTTATTCCTGCACATATATTATTCTCCCCAAATTCAATTCTAATTTTGTCACATTATAAAAATCATGCCCCCTTTCAAAATAAACAAAATTAACAAAATTAGATGGAAACTAATCAAGGAGAGAAGCAATCTAGAACTAAGGAGAAATTTTCTAACAGTGAGAACAATTAACCAGTGGAATGAATTGTCTTCAGAAGTTATGGGTGCTCCATCACTGGAAGCTTTTAAGAAGAGACTGGACAACCACTTGTCTGAAATGGCATAGGGTCTCCTGCTTGAGCAGGGGGTTGGACTAGAAGACCTCCAAGGTCCCTTCCAACTCTGTTATTATGTTATTAATCAGGATATTGTAAGAGAGGAAGGGGTCAAAAATGGAATCAGCCTAAAATTCCTAGCCACAAATGTATCAAGTCCAACCCTTGAATTCCATTGACTCTCATCTAAATTCTAGCAGGTGCTATATATAGGTATATATATTCCTATATATAGGTATGAACAATAAAGAGTTGCCTTGCAGTAAGATAGGTAGCAAACAAATTTAATAAACAAACAAACCTGCTTAATTGGAATTTCACCTGTGGTCATTCACAGCTGGTCTTTTGCACCTGATAGACATCTATACAAGCTTCCCTTTATGTTTATTTTTCTGAACTAACAATTCTCTGTTTATAGAGTTTAAAAATAAGATATTTTTCAGGTACTGAATTACAATCCTCCTGAAAAGCACCTTTAGAGTGAATGTTTGGAAAATTTTGAAGGGCGGATAAAAGTTTACAAAACAGGCTCCTTTTCAAGCTCAGATCTCTTACCTAATGATGTAGAAGATCGTCGCTGCAGCTCCCCCGCAGGTTGTGTTTTTTTGTAAGCTATAGGGGATGACCTCAACGACTGCGATCTTGAGGAGTGTTCTGGGCTTGACCAATTTGCATTCAGTGTCTGCTGATGATCCCCCTGCCCAATCTCTGTTCTCTCAACAGAGGGTGCAAGTCGTCCATCATCTAGAAAGGGCAAATATTAACTGTAAAAAAGCTATATTTTTCTACTAGTCTGAAAGATAACAAGTTTTCTTTAAAATTTTTAGTACCACGTGTTGCCTTCAACCTTTTATATAGAGGTTATATTTTTTATCCTACAGCCAAGGCCAAATTTACTCTCCAGTTGATTTGATGGCAATTAAGAAATCAATTGTGGAAACCAAAATTGTGGAAACCTTTTGGGAAAAGTGTAGAATAGAAATGCCACCTTTCGTTAAGTTTCCACCAATTTTTCTTTTAATTTGTTTATAACTGTAATACTATTTTACATCGCTTTCTGGAAAACCAGTCAACTCTTTGCACCATTACTTTAATTTTATTACGTTTTACAAGCTCACTAAATGAAATAACACAAAAAACCTAACCAACTTGATAGCGATCACATAACACATTGACAAATGTCCTCCTCTCAGCTTCAATACATGACATCAATAACTGAATCCTACTGTGATCTAATTGGCTCATTGCCGAAACAAGATGATACCTGATTGGCTCTCTAAATACTCATGCTCATTGGCTACAAGCAGATGAAGGAAAGCTATCTGACATCAACCTAAGCAAGTTGTGCTTCCTTTTTCTGGTTATTTGGCTATAACTTTTCATAGAATACAGTACAGATAATTGAACAAACTTTGTTGCATTACATTCTTGATTAAATTATATTTCCATTGATATATAATTTTATGGTACTACTCCCAAAGAAAAGTGGGGTTATTAGCCATCAAACCTCAAAAATACACTTTTCCCAAAAGGTTTCCACAATTTTGGCCAGTACTGTAAGGTACACATTTAGCTTATAAGCCCTCCATGGTAAAAAAATGTACCCAATTTTGAGGTTGTTTTCACAGCTCTTAAAGGACATAAAATGGTGCATTCAACCTCTTCAAGTTTAAACCATTCATTTTGCTTCTTCAAGCATTGCAAGCTGTCCCCAGAGAAAAGAATAAAACATTTAGTCCTATTCAAAGAGTTTCAGAAGCTGCAAAAAGATGTTGGGAGAGTCATAATTGGTTCTGTATCTATGTACTAAGTGAAAGAGTGATCAAGCTAAATGGTAGCATTTTCTTCTTCAAACTCAAATCTATCAGACAGATAAAAATTATAATTCAAAATCAATGTATGGCAGAGGAATATAATGGGATACTAAGCAAAAAAAATACTATAAAGATCACAACTTAATTTAAAAGACTTGGAAAATTTTACAGTTGTTTACTTGCCATACCACATTTGATGGTTAGGTATTGACTTCAAGGACTGATTTGATACATGTGGAAAGAATCAATTCTTCATATTTACAAACTATGAAGGAATTCAAAATCAATACTTTCAATAAAACCTGAATCTGGAAATCAGAAAACACAGGCACAAAGTGTCCATATCATACATACTTGATCTATGCATGTATTAATTTAGTGAACAAAAAAATAAAAAGGGGGAGGAAACAGAAAAAGATCAGGATCGGCCTGCTGTCTTCACTATCTACACTGTCAAATTCTACATGTCAGATTTAGCATCATGCACTCAAACAAAATCATCAGTCTGATGTTGGCTAATTTCAATATAATTACAGTTAATGTGATGGTTACCTCCTTCTGCACACTTCCAGGCTTCAGAAGAAGCCACGTGAATTGAAAGTGGGACAAAACATCCAACCTCTTATTCCAGAGAAAAGAAAGAAAATAGGAAGTCTTGGGCTTATGCACTAGTAGTATTTCAACAGCTCTGGAAGTCACCAAATAGAGGGAGGCTGATTCAGAACCACAAGTGACCTTAAGCCCTCTTTCATACTGAAGAAATTAAACTGTGAAACATAATTTGCACGTACCCTTAGTGAAGCGAAAAAGATTTACAAAAGAACTGTATGCAGATTTAAATGGAGGCTCATCCTGGTCAGGAGTCAAAGGTTTGAAGTGCGTCAGGTGAGATGGGCTGCCAGGAGAGTAAGGCAAATCATTCACAGATTCCAGTGTGGGGAACGTTTTGTCATCTGTGGCCATTTCATGAATCCTAAGAAAAATGAAAATGCATGTTTACTATTTCACTCATTTACTTCAAGAAAAGTCAGATCATCATTTAGATATTATAAACTCCTTGCGGTCACAGCCATGAAAGTCCAGAGATATTTTTCTTTTATGAATCTACAATATCGTAAGCATGAATTCAAGCAATCTTTTCTATCTTCCTATCAAAAGAGAAAAAAAACCCAATCCAGGCAGAGCATTACAGGCTTCTTCTTATGTACTATGAAAACATAGTTAATGATACATACATGGTATAGAAACATAAAAAGGAGTGAGCAACCTCTGATGAGATTGAAAAAGAACAGATTAAAAACTAGATTGTTAGCTGCTGTCTGGTGTGAAGGGAATCAGCATATAGGCACAATAAAATTAATTGTTTGTACTGTGGTAAATGGTGTTAGCATCAATGGGGAGGAAGGTACAAAGTCCTAGTAGTAAAGTAAAATTTAGATGTACTTGGGCAACCCATAGTAAGGTCCCCCACAGTATTATCAGATGCTACAGCCTGGTGTACTTTCAAATGTTTTATTTGTACTGTGCTGATTATAATACTAAAAAGCCATACTGAAATAAGAGTATTAAATGGCACAGCATAAACTCTCAAATAAAGTACTGTTCAACTTTGTAAAGATGTATTAAAGGAGTGCATCTTACCAGCAGAGGTACTGCATAGAGAACAAGAAATAATGTACCAATCATAAGCAAATTGAATAAAATGAATAGATGGAACAGCATGGATGATGGCCTATATAATTATTTACTATGAATCAAAGTATGAGACCCACATAATCGAGACTAGCAATTTGAAAATGTCAGTTGTCAGTTTTAAAAAAAGCTCTAAACATCCACTTAGTAATAATCTAAATTAAATCAGTCCTGAGTCACTCTGAAACAAAAAGGGCAGCAAGTAAAATAAATAAACAAATAATCAATCAGTCAGATTAGGCAAGACAGTAACATTAGACAGAACCTGGATTTAAATCAGAGTGAATGCGTTTGAGGATATTTTTGGGATTATATAGAGCAGAACTTTATCTTGTTTACTTTCTTATAACAAATATTAGTTAAAAAAAAAAAAAAAGAAAGAAAGATAAGGAGAAAAAAAACCCAAAGGAATATGTACAAAAGTTCTTGAGGAGGGATTGATATTAGAACTATGCAGTGCTTCAGATTCAAAAGTAAAAGGTGTTTCCGATCACGTAGTGTCTATAAACCAGCTTCTGTCTGCGAGCCCTAAAATCAAAGATGTCTTTTCCTGAGACTCTGCCACAGTTGTAGGAAACAACCAAAATACCAGAAAAAGGCATAAATGCTTTAAGAAACTGTACCTTTCTGGCCACTTCCAAATATAATTCATGCACATAAAATTGTACTTTAATCTTCTATTGATTTATAATAACAAACTTACAATGAACAGAAAACATGAACTAGTTTCCTTAAATTTATATACATTGCCATGTTGCCACAAAAGACGGTAGTATTTATCAGTTTTATTATAGACTCCCATCATCTACAAAGATGTCAATTAATACTCAACATTAGATGGTGTAATAACATACATTAGATTGAGAAAACAAAAGAGATTCTAGAAGACAGCAGCAAACTACTTTAACATCACCAAAAAAGCAACTATACATGGATATATCCATGAAATCACCAGGAGTCAAATTCAACTGCAAGCAGATTTTATCTTTACCTTTCAATCTATAAATAATTACTATAATTAGAAGCCACAACCCCACACATAAACTTTCATTGAACTGAAAAAGTGGGCAGCTAGCCAGTCTTTGATTCTATGAGCAAAACAGAAACCATGGTACAACAAACACCCTGTAAAGGGAGCTCTTCTCATTAATGATCCCAATCAGATTTCAACTCAGTCCATTTTAAGAGTAGAAATGAATAGCTGCAATAACCATTTTTATTTCTGTGTCGAGAGTAATAAATTGGGAATAAAATTGCAACATAATCTCAAAAAGTGTCTATGTATGTTTTTTGGCTAAGAATATGCCATAATACAGCCACCAGATGACAGACAGATAGATGAACGGACGGACGGATGGATGGATGGATGGATGGATGGATGGATGTTTTTACATATCCCTAGGATATTATTTTTATGGTAAGTGCTAAATAGCTTCCAATGATATATTTTAAAAGGTTTTATGCCATAAAGAATTCCAAACTGATCAACTGATTTCAGATCCCAAAAAATGCCTGGGAGTGTGGGCAACACAGACCTTTCCCAGAAAGGAGGTAATATATTCCAGAGAGAAGCCCAAATTAAGAGATTGTGCAGTTCTGACAGGATAGGGAAGGGAAGAAGAAGTTAGACACATCCTAGAATCTCTTAGGATTGCTGGTTGAGGAATTCTGGGAATTGAAGTCCACCCATCTCAAAGTTGCCAAGGTTGAAAAACGCTGGACTAGAGAGTTATACTGTAAATTTAGTCTGGCAACATTTTGTCCATTTGTTGTTGTTGTTCGTTGCGAAGTCGTGTCCGACCCATCGCGACCCCATGGACAACGTTCCTCCAGGTCTTCCTGTCCTCTACCATCTTCTGGAGTCCATTTAAGCTCACACCTGCTGCTTCAGTGATTCCATCCAGTCACCTCATTCTCCGTTGTCCCATTCTTCTATTGCCCTCAATCTTTCCCAGCATTAGGCCCTTCTCCAGTGAGTCCTTCCTTCTCATTAGGTGGCCAAAGTATTTGAGTTTCAACTTCAGGATCTGGCCTTCTAAAGAGTAGTCGGGGTTGATCTCTTCTAGGACTGACCGGTTTGAACGCCTTGCAGTCCAAGGGATTCGCAGGAGTCTTCTCCAGCACCATAGTTCAAAGCCTCAATTCTTTGGCGCTCAGCCTTTCTTATGGTCCAACTTTCACAGCCATACATTGCAACTGGGAAAACCATGGCCTGGACTATACGCACTTTTGTTGGCAGGGTGATGTCTCTGCTTTTTAGTATGCTGTCTAGATTTGCCATAGATTTTTATTTGTTTATACCATTAAGTATAAGCAAATAAAAGATTGATTTGATTAGATCTTGTTGTATCATTTTGGGGCTTGGGCGTGACCCTATATTCTTTTAAAATCTATCATATATGGTAAAATAAATTGCATATTACTAAACAACCTCCTTGGATTTTAAATACAAATCTGACAAATATGAAATCAGGCTGAAACCTGAGGCCACTCTTCTGCAAAATCTGTTCAGTTCAGTAGACATAGATATCCCACCAGTAATTAAACAAAAGGTTTTTTCTTGTCACATTTCACACCAATTATATTCATCCATATACTTAAAATGTGACTCAGTCCCTAGGGAACTGTTGTGGTCAAAATTGTACAAAAGTTCTATTGACAGATGTCTTTTGTTCTTAAACAGATTTTTGTATAATCAGACTTCTAACCAGGTTAGGTGCGGCTTGCAGGGAGAACTTTCAAATCCTATCCCGATTGAGAGCGGAGTTAGGCAGGGTTGTGTCCTGGCCCCTCTTCTGTTTAATCTATTCTTATCCGACCTGGCCTCTTATATTGAACGCATTGAGTCCCATGCCCCAAAGTTGTTAAATACGAAGATTCCGCTTCTTTTTTATGCTGACAATGCGGTCCTTCTATCACAATCAAGGCTCGGTCTAAAAAGATTACGGTACTTTCTGCATTTGGGTCCTACTGTGCTGAGAACCATTTGTCTATTAATTATGACAAATCCAAAGTATTGGTATTCTCTAGAGCCCGGAAATTATACAACTGGGCTATCAATGGTAATGTTGTTAGGCAGGTTTTCCATTTTAAGTATTTAGGTATTCAATTTCAGAATACTGGTGCTTGGACTAATCATCGAACCCAGATGCTGAATTCGGCCTCCTGTAGCCATCAGCAGATTATAAGACTTTTTTTTACCCAAGGAGGCCAATTTATTCCCTCTGTTCTGCGTATATATCAAGCCAAAACCCTGACCCAAACTCTTTATGGAATTCCCATATGAATACGAGGCTTCAAGGATTGTACTGAAAGTATCCAGGCTGTTTTTCTTAGGAAACTTCTGGGTCTTCCTCCCTGTGTTGGATTTGCTTCGATGTACCTGGAACTGGGCATTCGTTCAGTCGAATGCATGGCGTGGATTAACACCTTCAAATGATGGTTTCGGGTGCTATTTTTGGCAGCCCCTGGTAGCTACCTCTCCCTGGTGTTTGCTGACTCTCATACTTCTCGTTGGGAGAGGGAACTGATGAAGAAACTCCACTTGCTAGGTTTTACAGGGGATGCTCTGGGAGATTATGGTCTCAAGGACGCCCAGTTTAGGGTAGTCCAACGGCTTGTGGACATAGATTTGCAATACTTAAGAGCCAGAGCCAACAAAACCTGCTCCCCCTTGATCTTTAGCCATTCTAATAATTATGGATTGAGGATGGCCTCTTATTTCTATACTCTAACCATTCCCCAAGTATAGAAGAGTCTTTTCCCTAGCCCGTTTCAATGTCTTGCCCTCAGCACTACTCAACGGGCGATTCAAGAGGCTCCCGTTTAGTGAGCGATTATGCCCCTGTGATAGGGCTGAAGTTGAAACTGTGGAGCATGTCTTATTATACTGCCCTATGTATAATACAGCCAGAATTAAACTATTGCCTCTCCTTGGAATTGATCCCTCTGGTTCTAATGTTAGTAATTTGGTTTTATGTTGTCTAGGGGATGGCTCCTCCTATATTACTTCTCAGGTTTCTAAATTTCTTTTAAGAGCTGTAACTATTAGAGACGTTGTAATTCCCCTTAGCCAAGGCTTCTGGTGTTAATTGTTTGATTATATTTTTTTGTGTTTTCTTTTGTTGCACTTGTATTTTGGTCTGTGACCGCAAAATAAAAATTATTATTATTATTATACTTAAAATGAGGATGATTGAGAAGTGGCCAAAGACAAGGATGCGCTATTTAAACCCCAGTATGTTTCTTCAGACGGAACACTCATAGCAGGGCTCAATGGAA